AAAACGTTCTTGGGCAAAGTATCAAGGGTCAAAGTTCCACCGGGCATCATGCAGGGCATTCTTTGCAGCCTTCTTCGGGTCCTGACACACTGAAAATAACAACGCTGGGTTTAACCAAAAAGACGCAAAAGGTCCTCATTCGCTGGATCAGGCTTGCTGTCTTCCGACGCAGTGGCAGGCTCCGGCTGATTCTTCTCAGGGTCATGAGACTTGCGAACAACCTTGGCTGTTGTTGGCAACTGGGTTGAAATCAAATTAACAATTCAAGGCGAGAAACTCCCTTGGATTGGAACTTCGCATGCCATTCCCAGTTTTGGTGCTTTCGCTCCAACCGAGCTTTCACGATGGCTGCTTTGCCCTCAGACATATCCGGGGTGATAAAGCACAGGTCGGGTGGCATCCAATTTCACAGGGCTGTCAAAGTCCAACTCATGAGGAAGCACCAAAGCAGGCGAGCAATCACGATGACGTCTTGTACGGCCAGAGCTGGACTGATCCTGCGCAATATGACCCAAAGTAACTTTGTCAAATCATGTCAGCATCATCATGCGAAATGTAAACCCATGTAAAACAAAAAAGTTCGGCTTTTTCCATCCACACCTTATGTACTGAAAAGCCTCGTGGCGTCTCAGTCTCACCGGGCTTGACATGAGGCTCATCAGATGAATTGCCCTCAAGAATGGAAGCAGATCAAAAAGATCTTTAAAAAAGTAAACATCACATTCCCGAAGAGACATCCAGCCAAGCAGCATATCCATCATCAAGTATTTGGCTGTCCTGAATCTGGGATGATTCCGCCGCCGTAGATTCAAACTGGATCCGCATGGCATTCAGGTCTGCCTGGAAAGTGAATCGGTTAAATACCTTACAATCTGAAATCATTTCAACATGAAGACAGTGGCTGCAGTTGTGCCTCCGGAGCATCACAGCCATCATCGCGGCGACATTTCCGAGGGCGAGCAATGCCAGCAACCTCAAAAGGTATACTGTCATTGTTCAAAAACGACAAAAGAACTGGAAACATGAAAACATACATTTCACTTTGGTGTGAAGCTGGGGAACATGAGAGTCCTCCACCGGCTTCGCACCCTGCATAAACCGGGACAAGGCTTCACTGTGCTTAAACTCGAAGGCATTCTTTCTCTCCAGCAATGGCCGCTCTTGATCCACACGCTGAGTCTCACGGCTGCTTTGTCCTGCAGCAACGGAAGGCAACAAATTGGTAGCCATCACTGGTCTCGAAGCTTGAGGGTCGCAATCGTTTGCCACATGCCTTTCCATCAGCTGGCTATTCACATCATCCATATCCACATCAACAAAAAACATTGCCGAGAGGTCAAAGAAAAGACGCGAGGACTTAGTAGGACGACTTTCAAACAGAGTCTTCCAGCAATGTAATCACAAGCTTTCAGACTATTTGACTCATGCCTTTTGAATGGTTGAAACAGCCGATCCCATCACATACATCAAACATTTAGTCACCACCACTTTTTGCGGTGCTTGCTGTGCTCCTGGTGGCCGTTCAAAACCTGGAGCTTTTCGCCCCCACTTTCCGCTACTATGCAATCTGGTAACATCGCCCAGCTTCCATGGTGAAACCTTTCTCTACAAACCAGTTAACGGCTTAGCTGGGCCAATGGTCTTCTCTTTCGCATAATAGCGAACACCTTAAAATCCAGCAACAGCACCAATAAAGAACTTTGACAACTATCTGATGACTCAAACAATGACATGGGTGCATGCATCCAAGCCAAGCCACGCCACACGAGCTGCAAGAACGGTGATGCCTCCAGTGACTTGAATCCAATCACACTGGCAATGTTGGATCCTTTTGCCCCCTCTGTGTGACAGGATTGGGGCGGTAGACGGCGTAGCTTTCATTTGTGATAGAAATCCTCCAAGGGGACTCCAGCACCTGTCAGATTCTTCTCCACGCAAAACTTCAGCGGGTCGCTCCATCTTGTGGCCCGTGATTGTGAAATCAAGGCTTCCCCGCTTCTCAAGAGCGTAGACACGATCATACATCTTCATCGGCGCAGAGTCTGAAGCACCCCGGGCTGTCGTTTCCTCCCACACCACCTTAGAAATCATTTGGTACTCAGTCAGTGAGTGAGTTCACCCAAAAAGTTACTGCAGTTCAAGGGAAAAATGCCCCTTCGTGAGCCAAGTGCAAGCCCGGCACTGTGATCTTGGCTGAGGAAGAGATGAGTACGTGATCTTGCACTACATGGCATGTCAAGTTGGCACCAATGTTCACTGTCACTGATGCTACGACGGTGGGGTGCGCCTTCTCACACTCCTGCTGGGTCAAAGACGTCGGGGCCTCACCCAGAACCTCAACCTCTCTGGTCGTAGGTTGGTTGTTCAAGTCAGGGTCTGTGTTGGGTGTCACTGCAGGGGGCGGAGCTGCCGTGGCATCAACTGTGGGTGCGAAGACGTTGTCAAAATTCTTCAAGCGCTGTCTCCAATCCGGATCTTAGATGTAAAAAAAACTAAGGAGCCAAAAGAAAAATTGCTGTGCAACATTTGATTTCAACAATGCAACATTTCATTTCAACAAAGATACCATGATTCCTCTAAGGCGCTCCGAGCTGGGCACTGCAGCCACTTTTTCCTGACATCCCTGGGCATTGTCAAGTGCCCATTGGTCATAGAGCAAATCTTCAGCACTTACCGTGCTCACTCAGATCAGGATCTTTCATGAACTGCTGGACGTTTGCCATCAATCCACGGCCAGCTTTCCAATCTTCAATCAGCTTGTCCTTGACCTGCGTCACCACATACTGTGCTAGGGTAGGACTCGGTGTCTCTGCGAAAAGGCCGATGTAAACATCTGACTGTAGCTCTGCCATGAGATCCAAGGCAACCTTGCATCCCAAGACAGCACCAACGAAAATTGCAAACTAAACTAAAACATGACATGTTTGAACAAGCAGCCTTCTCAAAAGCAGCATCGTAAACCGAAAAGTGGTGGAGGCAGCACAGTTGCCCCTTCATGGTGCTTACCTTTGACAACGATGCTTCGAGGATTGTCTTGATGGTGCTTGGGCTAACAACCCATTGAGCCGTCTCTTCCTTGTCCGGGGGTGCTCAAAACAGAAATGCCTACAAACCACCGAGAAACAATCAAAGCAGGGACTAGGAAAAGAACCAAAAAGAAAGCAGCGCCAACAACAAAACGCATTTTTTTGACAACAAGACAAACACTTGCAACACGAACAACATAAATTTACCAAAAGACAAAACAGAAAACACATTAAAGACATTACTATCATAACCTGCTAAAAACGACAACTCACAACACAACACAAGCATCACATGCACAACACCAACAAACTAAACCCCCGTCATAAATGTGGAAGCCAAGGTACAGTGAGAACGATGACTTTTATTGCTGAAGAATGTGCCGGACTCTGGCGTGACGTACTCGTTCAAAGGCAATGGGGTGCTCGGCTTGCAGGCATGGAGCTTCCAAAAGTCATTCTTGGTGAAGACATTTGAATCCTGCGTTGGCCTTTCACTGTTGCGCGGAGCCTTGTAGAGTGTGCCCAACCGACTTCCCAATGTTGAGTCCAGTACCACCATCCAAGCTGGGAGGCTCGGGGGGAAAGTCCTCTGTGGGAGCTGAGCTACACAAAAAGCAACGCCTTCCATAATTTGAGGAATGAACATGTAGGAAGGCTCCTGTTGCCATGGGTCGAGCTGACATCAAACAAGATTTGGACACTCTTCATTTCCAAGTGCAAGCTGTCAAGCTTGTCTTCGATACGCCTCCCAAAAGAAAACACACAAAAGCGTAACAATAATGGTTTTGGCCACAAGTTTAATAACCTGCCTGAACTCTCCTCGAAGTCCATTGAGGACACCCTCTCCGGCCAACATGGGGCAGATGATGAGCACCATGCCTTGACAAACAAAAAATCTGCCGAGCCAATCAAGCCAGGACCTTGTAACCGCAGGCAATGTAAGTGCCTCCAAGTTGCTGTAGTCCGGATTCAACTGCAAAGTCCGCAATGTCCAATCGGCCATGTCATCAATTTGTGGGACAGAAAGGCGCCCCCACCTGGACAAGTCACAGTATCCAACATGGTGGACTTTCTCATTGTCCAACCCATCAAACTTAGCGTCTTGCATCATCCTACGAAGCGTTCCACTGAGTGAGTCGCGCTGGCCCTTGTCCGTGCAAAGTACCAAGCTTCTTTTCTCCATGAACTTGTCTGCAAGGCCCAAGCCACATTGGATCTGGTCACGCATATGCAATGCCTGCTCAGAACAAAAGAAGACAAGGAATTAGAACAGGGACATGAACGTGAACTGGCCTCTGCAACATGCTTGTTGCTCTCGACCTTGTTTCTCCGCAAGTTGTAGTTGACAGCCTCTTTGAAGTCGTGGGACAAGTTTGCAACAACCACTCTGTATTCTGCTTCTCGAAGGTTCTCCTGTCAAGGTCAAGAAGCCTGAGGCGGCTACAAAGAAAAACATCTGAACATATTAGAAGCTCTGCTACAGGTTGTGCATGGTTTTACGCTCCTCGGCCTCCAAACCAGCACCGGCATCTTTCCAGCCTATCGCAGATCCTGTTTGCTTCGACAAAGCTCGACCTACGTGATCTTGCCACATCCCAACCTATATATATATATATACATATACAATACATAGCTTTCACTTCTGGTGAAGCAGTGCTTGGGAGACTTGGCTGTTCATTGAAAAGCAGATAGTCTTCCAGCTCAGAATATACTTATGACTCCGAATGTAGAACCACCGTGAATGGATGTGGACATTGTTGAGATCGGCAAGAGCTCTCATTTTTTTTGAATACCCTTGACAAATAGATGCGGTTCTGAAAGATTTGACTATCCAACCTGACAACCCGGCGATTCATCCAAAGAATCTGCCAGATCAATCATTGATTCAGGCATTCATCGTTCATCCTGCAAGCATTGTGACTTCAGGGTGAAGCATTCATTCGTTCATCCTGCAAGCAGACGAGCGAAACCGAGGATGGAACAGTTGGTCTTTGTGTGCGGGAGTACCTGCCAGGTGAATTGAGGCGCTGGGGCTCGGACACGATAAAAAACCCCGTATGGGACACAGCTGGAAAGTGGGAAATCCATAAAACTGCAGATTTGGAAACGGGTCACACCTGCAAGGTTTAAGGATCCATGTGATAGGCTTGCAAGGTCGGGTTATGGTTCGCTGTCAACGATGGAATCTCCACTTCTAGAACATAGCTGTTGGACCAGGTATGCAGCATTCTGGGATTTTGACATCAGTGCCTTCGCTTCAGGACCAAGCTTGGACTTTCGCAGCAGCTTTCTCAGCACCTTCGGCACTTTGCACAGCGTGCACCTCTCAGCGACGTGACGCGACGCGCGACGTGTCGCGGGTGCTGCCGTGTGGAGCTGAGGCTTCGGCTATGCGTCCATCGGCTGGATGGAGGAACACAGTGGGCGCCCTAGAGCTGGTTTCGACTCTAGCAAAACGACTCTAGCTCTATCAAATCACCCAATGAACCATTAATTTCTTGCATGATCTCTGACGCTGCTTGGTTACGGTATGATTTGTGGCACTCCGGTCTCAACATATCCATCCTGCTTTCCGAAAGGCCATGGCCACCTCCTTGTGCCAGGCTGTGTTTACGCTGCGATGGCCACCTCCTTTCATGCTGCGGAAGACACCCTCGCGGTGCGCCACTGAACTGGTGGCGGAGGGCAGAGGGTGGCCTCTCTGGCGGCTGGAGGGGTCAAATTGCATTCGCATGTGCCATGCTTTTAGTCTTTTTAGTTGGATCAGTCTTCATCATTTAGGCTTCTCTCCCAGACTCCGATCCACCCAACACCTGCCCCAACAAAGTCACCTCAAGCTGGGCTAAGCAGGAGCTCCCTGCCAAATCGGTGAGAGATGATTTGATCAGCTACATATGTATATGTATATATATATATATAACCTTTCAACCCACTGTGGCCATTCACACATTCATGTAGTCACCCACATTCTTGCATGAAAGTAAACTTCAGCAATAAGCAAAGCGAGTTTGGGGCTTCGTGCCCACCGGCGGACCCAGCACCTGAAGGCATTAGACCTTCTACCGATGAGCGAAACGCCCATGCAGCCTGGATCTTAGTGACAACGGAGCACGCGGGATGGATAGAGGTTGGAGGCCATCGCTCTTAGGTAGGAAATGATTGCGATATGATGCATTTGGAAGTTTGCTGGTGAACTGGGCGCGGTTGGTGGCTGCGATTGGGGGTCAGGGTCCGTGTGTTTGGAACACGAAGATTGGCCGCGTGTTTGGATCTTTGTTCATGGTTTCCTTTTGCACGATGATAATACAGCATTTGGAACACTTTGATTTGATTCAGTGTTGAATCCGGTGATTTTGGCACTGGACAGACACAATGATGATACCGAAAGGAGCGCCCTTGGATTTGAAGGGCTGAACTAAACTTATATAACCAACGCACCTAAGCTCTGCAAAGTACTTTTGGGTTGAATCATGTTGAACCTGGATGGAGCACCTCATCATTCTGATTGATTCCGTACTAAACTCTTGAAAGACATACGAGAGCTTGTACCTTAACTTAAAGTGAAAGCTCAAGACCTCACAATGGCACTCCCGACGGGAATTTTCCGCCCTGTAGGATTCCATGAAGACAGGATAGTGACAATATGGCCATCACAGAGCAGACAGGTAAACACTTCCAACAACACAGGCTTGAACAGTGGTCCTTTTGAAAACATTCCAGACTTCATCTATCAGAGACATCCGAGAGGCCAAAAGAAGGACCAAGCTGCTGCAGACCTGCCCTCACGGTCTAAACAAATCAGAATGACTGATCCATAGTCGCTGCTATTTTTCGCAGGTTTGCGGTGGTGGGTCTCCCGCGCAGCGACGGGAAAGATGAGTCTGCCGGGCTCGTAGAGATATGTTGCGAAGAAAGCCTTGGAGTGACATGACAAGTCAGGGGAGACAGTTTGGCAACGTTTGTCAGTACGGCGAAAATGCTGCAGGGATGCACTTGATAAGACAGGAAGAGAGAGAGAGAGAGAGAGACATGATTTGAGTTGAGTTGAATTATGTCGAGCGAGTGAGCGAGTGAGCGAGTGAGAGCCGGCAAATCAGCAAACCCGTCTCATTCACAACCACCCTGTGAACTGTAATTGTTCTGAAGAGGACTCTACTTGGTGTGAGTAGCAAAAGTATGAGATCCCTGCATCAAATTCACTATGTCCGAGCTTTTGTCTGCAGTTGAAGGCTTCGTTTGGGACTGAGGAGTTCACCGTGAGAGCTCTCACTGGAGACGTCGTCAAACTACCAGAGGCGCTCTGCACATCTGGGGGGTTGCTCCGTTCGTAGCGATGCCCTTGTTCCTAATAGCTTCTTGTTACTAGTAGTAAGGCCAGGAGCCTAGTAGCGTCCTTGTTACTAGTAGTAAAGCCAGTCCTTGCTCCTAGTAGCGATGCCCTTTGTTCCGTTCGTAGCGTCCTTGTTGAGGGGTCAGCGGCCGAATGGCACCGCCAGGCGCAGACAGTGGTCGACACGACGTGGCCTCAGATTGGCACAGTGTGGCTGACCACTGGACTCGTGAGTAGTTGGGTGTGACTTAAGTAGCATTTCTACCGGAACGCTGAAGTATATACGGAGTGTATATAAAGTGTCAAAGTACATAAGGGTGTCGGAAGAGTTTGAGGCTGGGAGCGCCCTGCTGCATCAAGGAGTACACGGTCTTGAGTAGATCGTGCCCGGCGGAAGTGGTTTGAACCAAAGTGGTCGCAGGAAGCAAGCAACAGTGCCATGGCATAGACTCGGTAGAGTATGAGGTCTTCAGATGTGATTTGTGATCAAACATGTTTGTTCCTTGAGCTGTCCAAGTGTTGCTACTTGTAGTTACCTACTCTCCCCTTCCCTATCTTGAACCCGACGTCTGTCTTTGTCGCAGAATGAGTTGAAATTTCCAGGCCTGCTTCAAGGATGGTCCTTACTTCCAGGCTAACGTTGGTTTTGGTTGGTGGTTTGTAGCTGGCAATTTTCTCACTTGTTTGTTGCCAAGTGCTAGTTGGCCGCCACCGCAATGTGCACAGTATAAATCATTGACGCCTGGCGTGTAAGCTTTATCCCAAGATAGGTTGGCCCTGTCACTCACAATATTTTCATGTAACGCCTGACGACTGATGGCTGGCTTTGCTTACGTGGCCAATTTAGGCTCCAACATCAGGTCAGAGCAGCGTTCTTTTTTGAAATCGCCTTCGCGGAGGCTACACGGGGCCGTTTTTGCTGAAGGGTAGGCTACGTGCTGGCTACGCGGTAAGGGGAACTCCGCAACAGGCTACGCGAGGTCGCTTTTACTGCAGAAGTAGGCTACTGCGGTGCCTACGCGTAATGGTTCCCCTACGCGAAGGCTATGCAAAGCCATAAAACTGCAAACATAGGCTTCGCAGTGGCCACGAGGTACATCTGCACCAAAGAAACGCTACTCAGCTTGTGGATTGGTAACCTCTTCTGGATAACTGATTGTGTTAGACAGACTTGCAGTACACTCTGACACTGGTTTTCAGTTAACTCAATTACTCCGATGGGAAGGACGGTGATGGAACTGCAAGGTGAACAGGTCCGGTGACTTGAAATGTTGAACATTGTTTCACTCGCTCTGCTGGCTGCACTGCACAAGCGGCTGAAAGCTGCGGTGGGAAACCTGTTTGTGGGGAAAGTATCGTGTGGAACCACCATGAATCAAACCAAAGGATTGGACAGCGTGTTCAAAAGTTGAAGCAGGTACACATCAGGACGTCTCCCGATGCATCACCAGAGAATGTGGACGTCTTCGTTGGCAGTGATTCCACAAACTCTGTCACTGCCCCCTGCCTGTGAGAAAAAGTGTTGGAAAACCCTTTGTCCAGGGGTGGACACACACAAGTCGCCGCGTTCGGCGCTTTTTCAAAAACCGGTGGCAGGCGTGATAGTTGTGTCCTTTTAGGACATAGAGCCTCACGAGTTCAGCCGCAGCAGCTTCAGCGCTGGAGGGTGGAAATGTGTATTTTCGAATGGTGTGAAGTCGTGATTGGAGGCCTGATAGAGCCAAGCGCTGGCTCCCGGCGGTTGTGGAATCCCGGATTTTCCAGGGTTGGGAAGGTTGCATGTAGGTGATGGTGCGTTGTGGGAGGTCGATGTTGAAACCGAGGAGATGAAAATCCTCCACCGGTTCGAGTTCCACTGGGTCGCCAAAGAAATTGTGGTGGATGAGGGTTTGGATGGCCGGGTGTTGAAGGAAATGTTCGTTGTGGACAATGAAGCGGTTGTCGACATATCGATAGTAAGTAAAGTGGAGGTCTGTGTGTTGAAGGAGGTTGTTGTGGATCTGATGCCAGGAATGCTCAATGAGGGTGATGGCAACATTGCATAGGGCTGGAGAGAGCTGGGATCCAATCCCGGCCCCTCGGATTTGTTTGTAAGTATTGTTGCAGGCCCGGAAAATGCATGTGTTGAGGGCAAAAGCCACGATGGTGGTAATGTCGGAAGTCTGGATGGTGCGTTGGGTAGGGTGTTTCCGATGGTGTCTGCCAATGTGTGAGTGGTGGAAAGGATTGCCGGTGGCCTGGACATCCACCGTCAAGATGTGTGTGGGTTGCTGTTGTTGCCAGTGGTGGACGAGGGAGTGAACTGCATCGATGAGTCGGTGCTGTGGGACTGAGTTGAAGAAGCCGACCAGGTCATCGTTGGTGGCGTGTAGTGAGATGTCTGGTGGGGTTTGGGTGAGGTAGCTGTGAAAGTGGTGCCAAAGCTGGGGAATGGACATTTGGCCGGGATGTTGAGGGTAGAGGTGTTGGAGGATGATGTCAAGGGCACGGCTGGTAATGCGAAGCAGGTTGCCACTGAGTGATTGGAAGTATGAAATAATTGTACGGCCTTTTTGCCAGTGCTTCTTCTCCTTGAGGTGGACAACGCCGTAGGGAATGTTGAAGTCTTTTCGGAAGCCCCACTTGTAGCGAGTGCGCAAAATGGGGGGGACAGTGGCGGCCAGGTGATCGTGGATATTGGCGGCAGTGATGTAGGGAAGTGGTTCGAAAAGTTCGGGGGATTGCCAGGTATTCAAGGCGCCAGTGAAATATTGGCGAGGGCAAAACAGCCGGAGTTGTTGGAGCTCATGGTCGGCATGGTGGAGTAATGTGTGTTTGCCAAGATGTTCTTGGAGTTGGCGAAGCAGGCGAGCTGTAAAACGGGGTTGCTGCTTGAGGTGTGTGTTGTGGAGGCGCCATTGGTGCTCAAGGAAAGGCTGCAAGTGCTGAACGAGGGATGGCGGAAGCCCTTGTAGTTTGAGCCATTTCGTGTAGGCCGTCTTGAACATGATGAAGTAGCGGGCCTTGCTGGGGTAGTAGGTGCTGTTCATATTGGCGTTGAGAAAAATGCCGAGATGCGTAGGGAGTTGGAGTTGGTCAAGTGTAAGGATGTAGTGGCCGTTGATGGTGGGGGTATCGGGATCCTGCAAGAGGGTGCGAAGGTGATCGCATGCGCAGGGGAGGTCTGCTGGATCTGGCGGGGAGTGGAGGGTGTCCTCCCATGTGCGGTGGTTATGCAGGTGGGGAACGTAGGGTTTTGTGTGCCGCTTCTCTCAATCTGTGGGAGGGGAGGTGGAGGGGGATGGTGAAGTGCTTGTGTTGCTGAATGGTGGTACGAAGCCACTGCTGGCAGTGCTTGGTGAAATCGTCGTGGGCCAGGAATGGCACTGTCAACGGAAAATTTGGTTTTGGCGGTGTGAGGTTGCGGTAGATCAGGGCTTTGTTGAGGATGTGGAGAGCTCTGCTGCGGCCGGGTTCTTCAAGGTTTGCGGCCATGCGCCGGATTGCATAGACTTCAAGGTCCGTGTGGCGGCCGCTTCGTAGCTCTTTGGCTGCTTCAAAGGAGGCTGCTGTGTGTTTGGTGAGGTTGCGAAGAAGTTGGAGGGCGTGATGCTTGGTGGAGGTGTAAAGGTGTGGTTCTCTGAGTGTGTATTGGTGTTGTCTGAGGCGTCGGAAGAGTCGTTTGTGGGTGGCTAATCTGGAGTAGAAATGGGCTCTGTGTTTGGTGAACTGCCAGCCTTGAGCTTTGAGCTTGAGGTGGTGGGAAATAAACGGCCAGTTGAGCGTAGGCATCCAGTTCGCGATGTAATGGTGCTCTTGGATCCAGGCTTGGTCGTATGTGTCATGGGAGGTGAGTTGAATGGTAGTGTAGTGATGGATGTTGTTGTGTGAGTGCCAATAGCGTAAGGAGAGTTCGGCAGAAATGGGGATATTGTTCTGGAGTTGTTTGAGTTTGGCACGGCGATTGTGTTCGCGGTGGGGAATACCAATGGCTGTGGAGCCAACATAGAAGTGGCCATGTTGGTGGTAGCAGCGTTGGGGCTGGTCGGAATTGAAGTGGAGCTTGATGTAAACGGAATTTGAGGAGAGGAAGTTGTGGTAGTGGTATGTGTGGGGCAGAATGTGAAGTTGACGGAGACGGTTGCGCCATTGTTGTGAGCGACGGGTGTTGGAAGGGTATGCGAAAAGGAGTGTGATATGGATAAGGCCAGTGGCAAAGATGGCCTCGGCACGGTCGATGTATTGGGTGCGGTGAATGAGCACGGAGAGTGCTCGGTGCAAGTGGAAAAGTTGGGTGAGGTTGGTGTGGCTGGGTTGCTGCTGGGCAAGGATGGCGAGTCAGCAGCCGATGGCTGCTCCAACACCCACGAGCTGTTGTAGGCTACGAATGGGGAGCCGGTTGACCCGGTTGAGGGGTAGGCCATACCTTGTGGCTGCTTCTTTTAGCTGCTGCGTGGTGACTTTGCTCGTTTGCAGCAAACGAACGACGTCCTTGGCGGCTTCTTGGATGGTGGGGTCGAAGGTAGTGACCCATTGTTGGATCTCTGGGTGGTTCCAGCCGTCGGGGATATCGTCTTGCAGTGTTGGGTGTGGTGGTTGCAAGACGTCAGTGAGGGCTGGCGGTTTTGGTGGTGGTGGAGTGGGTGCATGGGATGGGGCGGCCGGTGCGGAAGATCGGCTGGTGCTCTTGACTGGGGTGAGTGGGTTGCCCAGGTCGTGGAGCTTTTGACGTGCGCGAGCCAGTTCGTCGTTGGTGTTTTTGAGGGCGCGTAGAGCGGTGCCTTCCGCAGGTGCTGGAGAGTGAGTTTGCAGTTGGTCGATAAGTAGTTTGATGAGGGGAGCGTGAAACGCTCGGGCGTGGGTGGTTTTGTTGGGGATGTCCGTGCTCTGTTGGGTGTGGAGGGTCTCCGCGATGCCGTCAAGGTCGAGGCGTTTTTCACGGAGCTGTTGGAGAAAATGGGTCACGAAAACCGACTCCGCTATGCTTCTGGTGGCAATAAAACCTGTGTACTTGCCGTTGCTCAGTGTGCGGGCGGTGAACTCGGAGGTGCCGTGGTAAGCCAATTGCCACGGGAAACCTCAAAGGTTGGGAGTCCTGCCACGCCTGCTTTTCGAGACCACTGGGTGGGTTGGATTGTACGATGTAGTTGGTGGCCGTGCAGGGTGTTGGAGTCCCAATGTTGCTCGGTTGGGTTCCAAGAGTCTGGAACAGGTGGAGTGGGGGATGGGATGTGTGGTGGTGGCGGGGCAGGCGCTGTGTTGCCACGTGCGGTTGGTGGTGGCGGCGGGCTGTGTTGGAATGTCGATGGTGGTGGAGTGACAGGTTCGGCCGTGGGGAGGGGGGTCGGTGGTGGAGGTGGAAACTCCGGCTGTGAGGTTGGTGCCTGTGGTGGCGGTGTATGCT